GATTCTTTTTTTGACTGTGAGGGCTACTCCATTTCTTCTAAGGGATTCTTGCCCACAGTAGTACATATGATTGTCTGAATTAAATTCGCCCATTCCCATCCTTTTTAGTTCACCAATTCCTAAGATGTTGATATTCATTCTTGCCATCTCCTGTTTGACCACTTTCAATTTACCTTGATCATGACCTAACATTCCAGGTTCCTATGCAATACTATTCTTTACAGCCCTGGACTTTACTTTCACCACCAGACACATCCACAACTGGGCGTCATTTCCGCTTTGGCTCAGCCTCTTCATTCCTTCTGGAGCTATTTCTCCACTATTCTCCAGTAGCATATTGGACACCTAACCACCTGGGCTTCCCAGGTCGCGCTACTGGCAAAGAACCTACCTGCCAGTGCAGGAGACATGAGATGTGGGTTCGATCCCTGGGTCAGGAAACTCCCCTACAGCAGGAAATGGCAACCCACTCCAGTATTCTTGCATGGAGAATCCCATGGACAGAGGTGCCTGTTGGGCTACAGTACATAGGGTTGAAAAGAGTCTAACAGGACTGAAGCGACTTGCTTGCACAGAATGACCTGGGGGATTCATCTTTCTGTATCATATCTTTTTGCCTTTTCATAATGTTCACAGGGTTCTCAAGACAAGAATGCTGAAGTGGTTTGTCATTCCTTTCTCTGGTGGACCAAGTTTTGTCAGAGTCTCCACCATGACGCAGCCATCTTGGGTGTCCCAACATGGCATGGCTCATAGTTTCTTTGACTTACACAAAGCTGTGATCCATGTGCTCATTTTGGTAGTTTTTCTGTGACTGGTGTTCATTCTGTCTGCCTTCTAATGAATGAGAATAGGAGACTTGTGCAAGCTTCCTGATAAGAGGGGCTGACTGTGGGAAAAACTGGGTCTTCTTCTGGTGGGCATGGCCATGCTCAGTCAGTCTTTTTTTTGGGGGGGGGGTAACTTGTTGTTGGTTTGTTTTTTTTTTTCATTTATTTTTATTAGTTGGAGGCTAATTAATTTACAATATTGTAGTGGTTTTTGTCATACATTGACTTGAATTAGCCATGGATTTACATGTATTCCCTATCCCGATCCCCCCTCCCACCTCCCTCTCTACCCGCTCCCTCTGGGTCTTCCCAGTGCACCAGGCCCGAGTACTTGTCTCATGCATCCGACCTGGGCTGGTGATCTGTTTCACCCTAGATAACACACATGTTTCGATGCTGTTCTCTTCAAACATCCCACCCTCGCCTTCTCCCACAGAGTCCAAAAGTCTGTTCTGTACATCTGTGTCTCTTTTTCTGTTTTGCATATAGGGTTAAAAAATATGGAATGCTTCACGAATTTGCATGTCATCCTTGCGCAGGGGCCATGCTAATCTCTGTATCGTTCCAGTTTTAGTATATGTGCTGTCGAAGTGAGCACTCAGTCAGTCTTTAATCCAGTTTTCTGCTGATGGGTGCTCCCTCCCTGTAGTTTGGCCTGCAGTCAAACTATGGCAGGGGTAATGGCAGAACTCCTCCAAAAGGATTTATGCCAGCGTGCTGCACCTCCCAGAACTGCTGCTGCCAGTGTCCCTGAAAGTGCAGCAGGCCACTGTCAACCCACACCTCTGCCAGAGACTCCCAAACACTCACAGGCAAGGCTGGCTCAGTCTTTTGTGGTGTCCCTGCTCCTTTCTCCTGGAACCTGGTGTGCACAAGATTTTGTTTGTGCCCTACAAGAGTCTCTGTTTCTCCAGTCCTGTGGAAGTTTGGTAATCAAATCCCACTGACCTTCAAAGTCAGATTCCCTGGGGATTCTCAGTCCCTTTGCTGTATCCTCAGGTTGGGAAGTCTGTTGTGAAGCCTAGCACTTTAACAATAGTGCAAGTTCTTCAGTATAATTGTTCTCCAGTTTTGTGATCACCCAGCCAGAGGTTATATGGTGGGGCTAATGGCAACTAACTCCTCCAAGAGGACTTATGACACATGTCACACCTCCCAGGACTCCTGCTGCCAGTGCCCCTGTCCCCATGGCAGGCCACTGTTCACCCATGCCTCCACAGAGACCCTCAAACACTCAGAGGCAGGTCTGGCTCAGTCTCTTGTGGGGATCACTGCTCCCTTCCCTGGGTCCTGGTTGAAAGGATTGGTAGTCATTAATTGTTAGTAATTTTACTCATTATGAGACAGCTGTTCTTGTGCTAGCAGTAAAAAATTAAGCGCTATCAATTCAAGAGTCCTTAAAGCTTCAAAAACTGTAAGTGTAACTTCACTTGCTGACAAATTCTGACATGTTGATTTAAGAAGAAAAGTTCTGCTTCTTGCACAGATTACCTAAAAGGGCTAGAAACAAGTTGCAACTTAATGCTTAGACCTTTGGGAGATAGCATGGGTGCCCTTCTACCCATACAGCATGCTTCCAGAGGCAGTAGAGGGAACAGGGTGTCCTCTGGGGACAAGTTAGTAACAGCCCGGGGATGAAGAAACAACTAGGTAAATCTCTCCCTATAAAGACAGGGAGAAAAGGATCTGAAGCTCAGAGCTACTGAACAATGTATATATGGTCAGAATGAAGAAATTCTTTGAAAGGGGCAATTTTGGAAACTTCTGATCTGTGACATGATATCTGCCAGTTTTTGAAACCTTCAATGTGTGTGATGAGTCACAGTAAAAGTTATCTACACAGTCTCATCATCATATCATCAAAGCTGGCAATATTGATAGTGTTTACTGAGTGTCCACTAATGTGTCAGAATCACATTTGTCACTTTGCCTTAGTGCAGGATATCTCAGGGCACAATCCTTTGTGCTGAGTTCTACACAAAAGGAGACTGAAAAGCAGAGTGTAACTTGCCATGGCAGCTCCAGTTCAGTTCAGTCGCTCAGTCATGTCTGACTCTTTGTGACCCCATGGACTGCGGCACGCCAGGCTTCCCTGTCCATCCATGGCATTCTTCCCTGTCCATGGCAGCTCCAGGTCAGATTTTAAAGCCCACACTCTGGCAGCAATGCTGTACCACTTTTACTTAGAGCTAAAGAGAAACGATTGGTTCTGACTCCAAGCAAGCCCAGAACAGTAGCTCTTAGGGGAAAAAAAAAATTACTTAACAAAATAATTTTGTCTTTAAATTAGTATTTTTAGATCCTCAGATTCCTAACAGATTTATATTTTAAGTTACTGTGCATATTAAAAAGAACTAATTTCTAAATTATGATAAATCCACACAATGAAACACTGCAGTTGTGAAAAATAAAAAGATACTCTTTAGGCATTGACATGGAATGATTTCAAGATCATTTTCTTAGTGAAAAAACTGAGGTACAGAATGTGTATGCTACCTTTTGTCTATAAAAGGGGGAAAAGAATATACAGATATGGAGTTGTAATGTATATTTTATATCTGAAATCACACAAAAATTGATTTGTCACTAGGAAGAGGAAGAACAAGGGAGCTAGTTAACAGTATATGAAGAAACTTTTACCATCAAATACTGTTTGAACTTTGGAATTTTGAGGTATATGAATGTGTAAACCTATTAAAAAATTTTTTTTAACTGAAACGCCTATCTAAAATAATCAGAATAAGATGTGTTCTCATATGTCACTTCTTAAAAGTTAACATGTGCAAACAGGAAACCAAAAAACACAAGAAGCAAAAAAAAAAGGCATCCATGACCACAAGCAGTTTACCATTTGATGTGTTCTTCTAAGTTAATTGATTTTTTCAAAAACTGCATGTCTAAGATAGTCATATATCATCAGTTAAAATACAGATTTTTTTCTTTTCTGTCTCCTAAGAACTATGATCTACCAAATGATATAAAATGCAAAAGTCACATATTAGCAATATTTGTCAAATCCTAATGCATTTATTGATCCTTGAACCCAGAAATATCATTTCTTAGAATATACTTACAACACATGTAGAATCTCACAGAGATTACTCATTGTAGCACTGTTTGCAATAGCAAAAGAATGGAAAATATTCACGTATCTAGCAATGGGAGATTGATTAAATAAACTATGGTATATTACGGTATATCTAAACAATAGAATACTATGTAGCTGTAAAAAAAAAACTTTATATGTCCTAATAAGGAAAGATCCCTAGATATACTGTCAAATTAAAAAAACAAAAAGATATAACAGAATGGACTGGCAGTTGCTAGAGGCTGGGGGGGCAGGGAAGGGGATGATAAAGCGTGGGGTGGGTAAAATGGGTGAAGGGAGGTCAAAAGGCACAAACTTCCAGTTATAAATTTAAGTAATGTAAGCATGGTGACTAGTTAGTAATACTGTATTATATATTTGAAAGTTTCTAGAGAGGAGATCTTTAAAGTTCTTATCACAAGAAAATAAACTGTAACTGTGTGGTGATGGACATGTGCAGTGTGGTAATCATTTTGATATATAAAGTACAGAACAACAGTGTAAGTCATATGCTATTTATAAGAAAGTAATGGGTGTCCTGGTAAAGAGGAAGGGTGGACAGTAAATAGGATGGGGCAAGCCTTCTCAAAGTATGTGTTTTTTTAAATTCATTTTAGAACTATGTGAATGTATCAATAATCATTCAGGGACTTCCCTGGTGGTCCAATGCTCAAGAATCCACTATGCAATGCAGGGGACGCGGGTTCAATACCTGGTCTGGGAACTGAGATCCCACATGCCTCAGGGTAACCAAGCCTGTAGGGAGTCTGTGGGCTGCAACAAAGATCCCGCATGCTGCAACTAAGACCCAAGGCAGCCAAATAAATATTAAAAAATGACCCGATTTTAAAATTACCCATTCAAAAAACATTTTTTTAACATGTAAATATTATTTACACAGGAATATTTTAAGTCAGAAAAGTATAATTTGTTCTGAGGAAAATAAGTGATCAAATGTGTTAACTAAAAATAATTTTGCTTGGCCTAACTAAATATATAAATTGAGACAGAATGATCACCATTTTATTTCATTTGATGAATGTTTTATTTCATTTAAAACAGCATTTAAAATGTATTCTTACCTGTATTTCATGATTTCAACTATGTCCTCAGCATCTTGTTTAGTTGCTTCCTCTCTCAATTCCAACCTTGCTCGTGCCTTTAAAAGAAAACAACCATCTTCAGATAACAAAAGATAAATATATTTAACACTGAGAAAGTAGAGTATATATAAGCTTATTTCATTTATTAATTTTACACAAAAACTTTTAGAAGGAGAGACTGCAATACAAAAAGTCAGAATTTTAAAATATTATCAAAAGCTTGAATAAGACAATTATCACTAATTTTAAAATCTATTTTTATCTACACATCTTTCTGAATGTTCATTCCAGAAGATTTGATTATGCCTTTTACTTTCAGGAAATCATGCCTAGCTATTAATTTGTTAAAACAACAAAGATGAGTTAATCAGATTCTAGAAGCAAAAAGCTCAAACTCTAACCCAGCTAATTTTAACTGCCAGAGTTCTCTTAGCATTCCATACTTTTGAAGAAATATAATGCTGTTAGAAAAATAGGCACTTACAGACCTGTCATGTATCAAATCAAATACTACTAAGATATTTGACACATTCCATCTTACCATATGCTCATTTTTGAATACCTAAATTCTTATTTAACCTAAGAAATCTTCAAACCTCAAGAGTTCCCTGAGTGTCATTAAAGGAAAAACTAAAAAAAAAAAAAACAACCCATTACATGGTTTAGCTTTTAGAAAGTGGCTAAACATTGCTTGATATATTAAATGTACCACAGCCTTCTTTTTAGATCTTGCCTTGGGACATGCAGGATCTTAGTTCCCCAGCTAGGGATCAAACCAGTGCCCCTGCATTGGGAGCAGGGAGTTTTAACCACTGGACCGCCAGGGAAGTCCTATGACTACCTTTTATTTTTTTTTTAATTTATTTATATTTTACCAAAGGATAATTCAAAACAGCAGAGACATTATTTTGCCAACAAAGGTCCATCTAATCAAGCTATGGTTTTTCCAGTAGTCACGTATGGATGTGAGAGTTGGACTATAAAGAAAGCTGAGTGCCAAAGAATTGATGCTTTTAAACTTTGGTGTTGGAGAAGACTCGAGAGTCCCTTGGACTGCAAGGAGATCCAACCAGTCTATCCTAAAGGAAATCAGTCCTGAATATTCATTGGAAGGACTGATGTTGAAGCTGCAACTCCAATACTTTGGCCACGTGATGTAAAGAGCTGACTCATCTGAAAAGACCTTGATGCTGGGAAAGACTGAAGGCGGGAGAAGAAGGGGATGACAGAGGATGAGATGGTTGAATGGCATCACCAACTCAATGGGCATGAGTCTGAGTAAACTCTGGGAGTTGGTGATGGACAGTGAGGCCTGGTGTGCTGCAATCCACCAGTCACAAAAAGTCAGACACGACTGAATGACAGAACTGAACTGAACTGAACTGAAGGATAATTGCTTCCTGGAATTTTGTTGTTTTCTGTCAAACCTCAACATGAATCAGCCATATGTATACATATATCTCCTCCCTTTTGAAACTCCCTCCCATCTCCCTCCCGATCCCACCCCTTTAGGTTGATACAGAGCCCATGTTTGAGTTTCCTGAGCCATACAGCAAACTCCCGTTGGCTATCTATTTTACATATGGTAAGTTTACATGTTACTCTTTCCATTCATCTCATCCCCTCCTCCCCTCTCATGTCCATATGTCTATTTTCTATGTCTGTTTTTCCACTGCTGCCCTGTTAATAAACTCTAATACCATTTTTCTAGATTCCGTATATATGTGTTCAGTTCAGTTCAGTTGCTCAGTTGTGTGCAATTCTTTGCAACCGCATGGACCACAGCAGGCCAGGCCACCCTGTCCATCACTAACTCCTGGAGTTTACCCAAACTCATGCCCACTGAGTTGGAGATGCCATCAACCATCTCATCCTTTGTCACCCCCTTCTCCTCCTGCCTTCAATCTTTCCCAGCATCAGGGTCTTTTCAAATGAGTCAGCTCTTTGCATCAGGTGGCCAAAGTATTGGAGTATCAGCTTCAACATCAGTTCTTCCAATGAACACTCAGGATTGATCTCCTTTAGGATGGACTGGTTGGATCTCCTTGCAGTCCAAGGGACTCTCAAGAGTCTTCTCCAACACCACAGTTCAAAAACATCAATTCTTTGGCACTCTTTATAGTCCAACTCTCACATCCATACATGACTACTGGAAAGACTATAGCCTTGACTAGATGGACCTTTGTTGGCAAAGTAATGCCTCTGCTTTTTAATATATCGTCTAGGTTGATCATAACTTTCCAAGGAGTAAGTGTCTTTTAATTTCATGGTTGCAGTCACCATCTACAGACTTTGGAGCCCTCAAAAATAAAGTCAGCCAATGTTTCCCCATCTATTTGCCATGAAGTGATGGGACCAGATGCGATGATCTTACTTTTCTCAATGTTGAGTTTTAAGACAACTTTTTCACTTTCCTCATTCACTTTCATCACAAGGCTCTTTAGTTCTTCACTTTCTGCCACAAGGGTGGAGTCATCTGCGTATCTGAAGTTATTGACATTTCTCCCAGCAATCTTGAATCCAACTTGTGCTTCATCCAGCCCAGCATTTCTCATGATGTACTCTGCATATAAGTTAAATAAGCAGGATGACAATATACAGCCTTGACGTACTCCTTTTCCTATGTGGAACCAGTCTGTTCCATGTCCAGTTCTAACTGTTGCTTCCTGACCTGCAGACAGATTCCTCAAGAGGTAGGTCAGGTGGTCTGGTATTCCCATCTCTTTCAGAATTTTCCACAGTTTAGAATACAATATTTATCCTTTTCTTTCTGACTTATTTCGCTCTGTATAATAGGTTCTAAGTTCATCCACCTCATTAGAACTGACTCAAATGCATTCCTTTTTATGGCTGAGTAATATTCCATTGTGTATATGTAGCACAACTTCTTTATCCATTCATCTGTTGATGGACATCTAGGTTGCTTCCATGTTCTAGCTATTGTAAATAGTGTTGCAATGAACAATGGGATACATGTGTCTTTTTCAATTTTGGTTTCCTCAGGGTATATGCCTAGGAGTGGGATTGCTAGGTCATATGGTGGTTTTATCCCTAGTTCTTTAAGGAATCTCCATACCATCTTCCATAGTGGCTGTATCAATTTACATTCCTTTGAACAGTGCCAGAGCATTCCTTTTTCCCCACACCCTTTCCAGCATTTATTGTAGACATTTTGATGATGGCCATTCTGACCAGTGAGAGATGATATCTCATTGTAGTTTTGATTTGCATTTCTCTAATCATGAGCAATGTTGAGCATCTTTTCATGTGTTTGTTAGCCATCTGTATGTCTTCTTCGGAGACAAGTCTGTTTAGGTCTTTTTCCAACTTTTTGATTGGGTTGTTTTTCTGGTATTAAGTTGTATGAGCTGCTTGTATATTTTGGAAATTAATCCTCTGTCAGTTGTTTTATTTGCTATTATTTTCTCCCATTCCGAGGCTTGTCTTTTCACCCTGCTTATAGTTTCCTTTGCTGTGCAAAAGCTTTTAAGTTTAATCGGGTCCTACTTGGTTACTTTTGTTTTTATTTCCATTACTCTCGGAGGTGGGTCATGGAGGATCTTGCTTTATGTCATCAAGTGTTTTATGTTTTCCTCTAAGAGTTTTATAGTTTCTGGTCTTACATTTAGGTCTTTAATCCATTTTTAGTTTATCTTTGTGTATGGTGTTAGGAAGTGTTCTAATTTCATTCTTTTACATGTAGCTGTCCAGTTTTCCCAGCATCATTTACTGAAGAGGCTGTCTTTGCCCCGTTGTATATTCTTGCCTCCATTGTCAAAAATAAGATACCTATAGGTGTATGGGTTTATTTCTGGTATTTCTACCTTGTTTCATTGGTTTATATTTCTGTTTTTGTGCCAGTACAATACTGGCTTGATGACTGTAGCTTTGTAGTATAATCTGAAGTCAGGAAGGTTGATTCCTCCAGCTTCATTCTTCTTTCTCAAGACTGCCCTGGCTATTCTGGGTCTTTTGTGTTTCCATATGAATTGCGAAATTTTTTGTTCTAGTTCTGTGAAAAATGCCATTGGTAATTTGATAGGGATAGCACTGAATCTGTAGATTGCATTTGGTAATATAGGCATTTTCACAATATTGATTCTTCCTACCCAGGAACATGGAATACCTCTCCATCTGTTTATGTCATCTTTGATTTCTTTCACTAGTGTCTTATAATTTTCTGTGTACAGTTCTTTGTTAACTTAGGTAAGTTTATTCCTAGATATTTAATTCTTTTGTTGCAATGGTGAATGGGATTGATTCCTTAATTGCTCTTTCTGATTTTTCATTGTTAGTATATAGAAATGCAAGTGATTTCTGTGTATTGATTTTGTATCCTGCAACTTTGCTAAATTCACTGATTAGCTCTAGCAATTTTCTGATACTATGTCTAGGGTTTTCTATGTACAGTGTCATGTCATCTGCAAACAGTGAGAGCTTTACTTCTTTTCTGATCTGGATTCCTTTTCTTTCTTTTTCTTCTCTGATTGCTATTTCTAGGACTTCCAGAACTATGTTGAATAATAGTGAAGAAAGTGGACACCCTTTTCTTATTTCTGATCTTAGGGGTAATGCTTTCAGTTTTTCACCACTGAGAATAATGTTTGCTATAGGCTTATCATACATGGCCTTTACTATGTTGAGGTAGGTTCCTTCTATGCCCATTTTTTGAAGAGTTTTAATCATAAATGGGTGATGAATTTTGTTAAAGGTTTTTTCTGCATCTATTGAGATGACCATATGGTTTTTATCTTTCAAGTTGTTAATATGGTATATCACATTGATTGATTTGTATATATTGAAGAATCCTTGCACCCCTGGAATAAACTGAACTTGATCGTGGTGTATAAGTTTTGATGTGTTGCTGAATTCTGTTTGCTAAAATCTTGTTGAGGATTTTTGCATCTATGTTCATCAGGGATATTGGCCTGTAGTTTTCTTTTTTTGTGTTGTCTTTGTCTGGTTTTGATATCAGGGTGATGGTGGCCTTGTAGAATGAGTTTGGAAGCGTTCCTTCCTCTGCAATTTTTTGAAAGAATTTTAGAAGGATAGGCATTAGCTCTTCTCTAAATGTTTGACAGAATTCTCCTGTGAAGCCATCTCATCCTTGGCTTTTGTTTTTGGGGAGATGTTTGATCACAGCTTCAATTTTCAGTGCTTGTAATTGGGTTGTTCATAATTTGTATTTCTTCCTGGTTCAGTCTTAGAAGATTGAACTTTTCTAAGAATCTGTCCATTTCTTCCAGGTTATCCATTTTATTGCCATATAGTTGTTCATAATAGTTTCTTATAATCCTTTGTATTTCTGCATTGTCTGTTCTAACCTCTTTTTCATTTCTAATTTTGTTGATTTGATTCTTCTCTTTTTCTTGATGAGTCTCACTAAAGGCTTGTCAATTTTGTATACCTTCACAAAGAACTAGCTTTTAGTCTTAGTAATCTTTACTATTGTTTCTTTCATTTCTTTTTCATTTATTTCTGCTCTGATCTTTATGATTTCTTTTCTTCTACTAATTTTGGGGGCTTTTTTGTTCCTCTTTTTCAATTGTTTTAGGTGTGAAGTTAGGTTCTCTATTTGATGTTTTTCATGTTTCTTGAGGTAGGATTGTATTGCTATAAACTTCCCTCATAGAACTGCTTTTGCTGTATCCCATAGGTTTTGAGTTCTATGATAACCTTTAAAAAAATTTTTATCTACCCATTTCTAATGTTACCCAATAGGAAGAAAAGCAAATAATTACACATAAAATTTAAGAGAAATCTTATAACCCTGTACCCCCTTTTTAAGCCAAAAGAGCAAGAACTTAAAATAAATGAACCTCTGTTAGACGAATCAAAGATTCCAGCTGCCTAGTAGTGATTGGTGAGCTATTTAACCGCTGGCTCTGTTTCCGGAGCTCAAGGTAAAAATCCTGAAGAATTTGAGCAGCTTCTGTGGATAGCCTTGGATAGACATACTGCCGAGAGTAGCCAATGTACTTTCTCAATAACTGGTGGGGAATTGGATCTATTGTTTCTCCAGGAACCACCTAAAACATGATTAAAAAGGCCCAAGATTACAAGGATATGTAGCAAATAAAATCTTTCTGCTAAAATAACTTGTTTAGATAAATATAATATTCTAAAATATTCTAATATTTAGATAAATATTATATTCTCCAAATAAACCAAACTGCAGTTCTAGCTCTCGGTCTAGCTGACTTAGATTATTTCAATTGAACTTTATATAAACTCTAGTATTATAATATAAAAGGTATTTGCTAAGAAAGTTTACATACTACTGTTCTACAACAAGCAACACACTGAACTCTGACTTTCAAACAAAACTGAACCAAATTATTAAAGAGAAGAAACTTACCTTTAGTCTTTCTGATAGTGGCTTATCAGAAACCACTTCAAGTATAGAAGTATTTGAATCCTGACTATTCATACGAGCTACTGTGGCACTGCTAACAGCTCTCTGCTTTCCAGCCCTTATTGCAATCACATGTTCAGAGAGTAAATGATCATGATCTTCATTTGGAGTGTCTAACAGGATAAAGACCAGATCAAATCTGGATAGTAGGGCACTCCCCATTCTAAAGGTATGAAAGAAAGAAGAAACAGTGATTGGAATTGAACAGAAAAACTAGAAAGCTGTTTATTCACTTCTTTACTAATCAAGTTCCATGTAGAACTTAAAAAATGAAGCTTTAGGTTAAGGAAACAAGCAATAGCTTCTGGATTCAATGTACCCACCAATTCCAGAGACACACCAGGTCACATGTGCACAGGCTTATATGTAACCATATGTTAAGGATGCCTTTTCTCACACCATCAAAACTAAATTCTTCTCTTATGTTCTATATGACTTCTGATGATTTAGGATCATTGAAATTACAAGCTAGAATGCTTCATGATACATTGAAGATTATCTGATTGAGAAATTCTTAATCTTTTACATCTTTTGTCTCACCAAAACACCGAGTCTCTCAAAGAACCTATGCCCATTTAGAAGCAAAAATACCACTTTTTCTCAAATATACCTCTATATGCCTATTAGTCATTATTTAGTAAAAGTGCTGTGTCCTACTTAATCATTTTTGAATCTACCTATCACACAACTCCTTTATTTGAGACCAACAAACTGAAATCCAGAATGATTAAAGAATCTGACTAACATTCCAGTGGTACCACTAAAATCAGAATCTAAGTCTCCTGGATCCTTGTTCAATAGGATCTTTCTGATCTTTCCAATCTAGGATTTTGTCATTTTACTAAGAAACACTAGTAAGATGGCTTTTTTGGTGCTGGTAGTACAGAAATACCCAGAATCTCAAAGTAAAATTGTGTATGTTACTATGTACCATTTCTACAATAAAAGTATTTATTATTGGGACTCCCCAGGCAGTCCAGTGGTTAAGACTCCACCCTGCCAATGCAGGGGTGAGGGTTCAATCTCTGGTTGGGGACCTAGTAAGATCCAACACGTAGCCAGAAGATTTAAAAAAAGAAAAGAAAAAGTAGCTATTACTAAATATTAGAAAATTAGCATTTTGTTTCCCACTAGAAGTTTTAAAGTTCTAAATTTTCATCTGAGGCATCTTTTTGTCTTTTTTTCACTTATGCATCACTTGAGTCTATTTTCCCCTTCCCAAACATTTTGTCCAACCTGTACAGAACAAATTAGAAGAGAAAGCATACTCACATAAAGATATAAATACTGGTTTTGGAAAAAAGTAGGATCACATCACACATACAAATAAGCAGGTAACGTGCTCCTATCACTTAACAGTAAAGCAAAGACATGTTTCTTATCAGAGTATATGCAAAGCTACTTTCATTCTTCTAACTGCTGCTTTCCACAGTATAGTCTTACTATATAGTTCAACCACTTCCCTGTCAATGAGCATTTCAAGTTGTTTCCAGTTTGTGATGGTGATAAACAATGCTGTAAAACCCACCCTGTCAACATATCTTTGTGTATTCTTGTGCCTACTTCTGTGAATATAACTCCTAAAAGAAATGGCTGGAACAAAGAAAGTACATTTAAAATAGTGATAAACATGCCAAGCTGTCCTTCAAAATCTCAACTATGTATGTGAGATTCCATTTCCCCACCCCACTGACAAGAATGATTAATATGTAAAATGTTTGCCAATCTGGTAGATGTCAATAGCACTTCATTGCTTTAATGGAGTGTTCTAACACATTTTTGTACATTTATTGGAAACTTGCAACTTCTGTAAAATATCCATATGTCCACAATTATCTTTATCTTTTTCATATCTATAGGGATTCAATATATTAAAGTATAAATATTTGAAGAGACTTACTTTAAATTCTCAGAAACTGTTTTGGCTTTATTGTAGTGTCCTCCAACTGGATTTGCAGCAGCAATGATGGAAGTTCTTGCAGGGAGGCTACAAACCATGCCAGCCTTAGCAAGACTAATACTCTGCTGTTCCATCGCTTCTAACAAGGCTTGATGTTGATTCCCCATTTTATCAAATTCATCTATTCCACAGATACCTGCAACCACAGTAAAATAATTCAGACAAAAATTTTTCCTTTGGTCAAGTTTTAAACCTAACAGGAAAGAAATTATTCCACAATAAAGCATATTTCCATACGTTTCCAACAGTTAAAATTATGAAGTGTCATACAGTACAAAATTTGTGCTTGATTTACAGCAAATAAAATATTGGTCTTATTTAACTGTTATTTAATTAGCATTTTCCACAGGCAAAGCACTACATGTGAGGGTTACAAAAATGAAGATATGAGAGTAACTCTCAAAAGCTTAAAGAGTTAAATCTGAACAGATGAGATAAGGATATACACATTCAAGATAGTGTATTTAACAACTATAATAGTTGTTATATATATATATAATATACAATATAATATAATATACAACTATAATATATGCATCATCATATGAATTTTCTGGGGGTGGGGTGGGATTAAAAGAGGAAGGGGAATCTGGAAAGGTTTCAAGAAAAAGGTGCTATATGAGCTGGGTCTTTTGGGAACAGTGGGCAGCATGATTTGGGAAGGAACACATGGGCTCTAAAGTCAGAAGACTAGAGTGCAGGTCTCAGCAATACCAGGTGTTAACTATAGAAGTGTACAGTTAATTGTACACTCAAACTCTTTAAATATGAAGACCCATCACTGAATGAAGGCATTTTATGTGCCAGATGTATATTACATCTAATCCAGAGGTTATTGGAGGCCCTCTAACATTATCTTGTAATATTTTTCCTCTCCTCTTCTTTATACCATGATAATTTGGTGGTCATGTCCCAAGGGCTTTGCTATGGTTAATCCTCTGTATACCTATTCTATGACCAGTCAGTGCAGACCTCTCTGGAATTGATGGTATTACTGGAAATTCTTGAGAGTACTAGTAATAGTTCTTCAGAGGTGGGGACAGGGTAGGAATAAAGTCAAGCTACTTCTCTGCCACTTTGCAAAGTTTAAAGCAGGAGCTGGCAATCTTTTCCTATAAACGGGCAGATTTTGATGTTTTGTGGGCCACATACAGTCTTGTCACATATTCTTGGGTTTTTTGTTTGTTCTTTACAGTCCTTTAAAATAGCTTGTGCCCACACGCCACAACTACTGAAACCCACATATCCTGTGCTCTGCAACGAGAAGTCCTCACACCACAACTAAAATGTAGCTCCTGCTTGCTGCAACTAGAGAAAGCCCTCAGGAAGCAATGAAGACCCAATGCAGCCCCCCCAAAAAAGGAAAAGTAAAAAAAGATTTTAAAAAAATGAAATAGCTTGTGGACTACACTAAAACAGGCTGAAGGGTGGGTTGATCTGTGGACTGAAGTTTGCCAATACCTGGTTTTAAAGCATAAAGTTTAAATTATGAACATTTTAAGCTCTTTCTAGTTTGTCTACAATTGATATATCTTGTTGCTTGTTTTCAAACAATTTTTTGGTTATTTCATCAGATATTGAAGAAGAGAAATATAAAACAGCTCTATTTCTCATTTTCTCCCTTGAAAGTCTTCAGTAAAGATTTTAGTAGGATCCTTTATTATTTGATAGGATTATATTTGTTTCTAGAATCTGGTCTCTGTTGACTAATATTCTTTTGTATTTTAACAGTAATATATATATATATATATATATGTATTGTTAACAGTAACATTTTTACCATCATAATGCTTGGCTTATCTGCATAGATTTGAAAGAGATGGCCATGGACTTTTAACACTCTGCATCTTAAATCCCATTAGCAATCTGCACAGCTAAACACTGTATCACCTTCAACTTCTATTTATTGGAAGATCTGACAGTTTAATAAAGTGTGAAAGTGTTAGTTGCTCAGTTCTATCTGACTCTTTGCAACTCTGTGGACTGTAGCCCACCATGCTCTTCTGTCCATGGAATTTCCAGGCAAAAATACTGGAGTGGGTTGCTATTTCCTTCTCCAGGAGGTCTTCCTGATCCAGGGATCGAACCTAGGTATCCTGCATTGCAAACACATTCTTTACCATCTGAATAACCTCTTCCTGCTTATTATTTTCTTCATCTGCTAACTTAGTAAAAATATTGTCACTTCTAATGAGCTATAACCAGAGAAATGTTTTAGAATTTATGAATTCATCAAATATTTACTGAATGCTTTTTATAAGAAGAGGTGGCAAGAATACACAGAAGAATTATACAAGAAAGGTCTTAATAACCTGGATAACCATGATGGTATTATCACTCACCTAGAGCCAGACATCCTGGAGTGTAAAGTCAAGCAGGCCTTAGAAAGAATTACTAAAAACAAAGCTAGTGGAGCTGATGGAATTCCAGCTGAGCTGTTTCAAAGCCTAAAAGATGATGCTGTGAAAGTGCTGCACTCAATATGTCAGCAAATTTGGAAATCTCAGCAGAGGCCACAGGACTGGAAAAGGTCAGTTTTCATTCCAACCCCAAAGAAGCGCAATGCCAAAGAATGTTCAAACTATTGTACAATTGCCTGCATTTCACATGCTAGCAAGGTCACGGTCAAACTCCCTCAAGGTAGGCTTCAGTAGTACGTAAACTGAGAACTTCCAGATGTACAAGCTGGATTTAGAAAAGGCAGAGGAACCAGAGATCAAACTGCCAATATTCTTGGACCATGGAAAAAGCAAGAGAGTTCCAGAAAAACATTTATTTCTGCCTCACTGACTTAGCTGAAGCCTTTGACTGTGTGGATCACAACAAAATGTGGAAAATTCTTAAAGAGGTGGGAATACCAGACCACCTTACCTGTCTCCTAAGAAACCAGTATGCATGTCAAGAAGCAACAGTTAGAACCAAACAACGAACTGGTTCAAAATTGGGAAAGGAGTACAAGACTGTACACTATCACCCTGCTTATTTAACTTATATGCAGAGTACATCATGTGAAATGCCAGGCTAGATGATTCACAAGCTGGAATCAAGATTACTGGGAGAAATATCAACAACCTCAAGATATGTGGATGATATGACTCCAATGACCGGGAGTGAAAAGGAACTGAAGAGCCTCCTGATGAGGGTGAAAGAGGAGTGTGAAAAAGCCGGCTTAAAAGTCAAGATTCAAAAAACTAAGATCATGGCATCTGGTCCCATCACTTCATGGCAAATAGAAGGGGAAAAAGTAGAAGCAGAGACAGATGTTAGCACTTCCCCGGTGGCTCAGATAATAACCTGTCTGCCAATGCAGGAGACCTTAGAGACATGGGTTCAATCCCTGGGTCTGGAAGATCCCTGGAGGAGGAAATGGCAACCCACTCTAGTACTCTTGCATGGAGAATCCCATGGACAGAGGAGCCTGGAAGGCTACAGTCCATGGGGTCACAAATAGTCAGACACAACTGAGCGACTAACACACACACAGAGTGACAGATTTTATTTTCTTGGTCACTGCAGACTGTAACTGCAGCCATGAAATTAAAAGACCCTTGCTCCTTGGAAGGAAAGCTATGACAAACCTAGACAGTGTATTAAAAAGCAAAGACATCACTTTGCCAACAAAGGTTTGTATAGTCAAAGCTATTGTTTTTCCAGTAATCATGTACAGGTGTGAGAGCTGGAACATAAAGAAAGCTGAATGCCAAAGAATTGATACTTTCAAACTGTGGTGCTAGAGAAGACCAAGAAGTCTGTTGGACTGCAAGATCAAATCAGCCAATCCTAAAGGAAATCAGTCCGGAATATTCATTGGAAGGATTGTTGCTGAAGCTCCAATACTCTGGCCACCTAATGCAAAGAGCTGATGCTGGGATTGAAGGCAGGAGGAGAAGTGGGCGGCAGAGAGTAAGGTGGTTAGATAGCAACACCAATTCAGTGGACATCAATTTAAGCAAACCCCTGGAGATAGGGGAAGACAGAGGAGCCTGGCGTGCTGCAGTCCATGGGGTAGCAGATAATTGGACATGATTTATCGACTGAAAAACAAGACTATATTCTAGGCATGTGGATATAACAGTGCAAAAACGAAATTCTCCGTACTTGTTGTGAAGGTTACATTCCGTTCACTGTTAGAGGCAGACAATAAAAAAAGTAAACCATATGGTATATGAGCAGGTAAAATGCTCTGGCAAGAGAGGCAGAGTGGGATAAGAACAGGGTCAGTGGGGGTGGGGGTTACAGTGTAAAATGTGTTGTTAAGGGAAGGTCACACTGGGGTCTTTTGAACAAAACATTGAAAGAGCCCTGCAAACTATCTGGAGTAAGAAGGTTCCAAAGTACAAAGGCTGTGATGTGGGAACATGACATGCCTGGAGTGCTGGTACTATACTTCATGGTATAGCAAGGAGGCCAGGGTAGCTGGGGAAGAGGAAATAAGAGTGAAGAAATGTGTAGATAATGAGGTAAAAGAGGTGATTAAAGGACAGAATATGAAATAATGATTAAAGGGCATCTGTGTCACTATCAAACCTGGCTTTCACCAAGTGAGATGGGAAGGCACTGGAGGGTTTTGAACAGAACAATGTGATCTAAGTTTTAATGGGAATTCTCTGCCTTATTACAAACAATAGAAAGAGCAAGGGTGGTCACAGGCATGCCAACTAGGAGATCACAGTAATAATCCATGCGAGAGATGATGGTGCAGCAGCAGTGGATAAGTGGTGTCCAGAAGGTAGAGCAAACAAAGTCTGCTGACAGCCTGGATGTGAGGTATGTGAAAAAATTAAGAATGTCTTTATGTTTCCTGATATGAGCAAATAGAAGGATGGAAATGTCATTTACTGAGAGGGGAAGATCAAAATTTTGGCTTTGGATGTGCTAGGTTTGAGAAAGTTGCAGAGACATTGCATAGGCAAAGGGATATATATGCCTGGAGTTCAAGGGAGAAGAAACATAAATCTGGAAAACTTCAGCATAAAGGTAGGTGAAGAACCATGAAACTAGATAAAATAACCAAGCAGATAAGTACAGGCTAAGAAGAAAATACTACAAAAACTAAGTACTCTGAGGAGCCAGCCAGTTAAGAGGTTGGGGAGATGAAGAACAAGTAAAGACAGACTGAACAGTGAATAAAGAAAGAAGAAAATCAGAAGAGTTGCAGTGTCCTGGAAACCAAGGAGATAAAGTGTTCCATTGATGCAGTCATCAGCTGTGCCAAACATGGCTGACAGTTACTGGATTTAGAAATGTGACATTGCTGGCAAACTGGAAGGAATGAATGATCTCAGCTGGACTAGAATCTGGGTACACACTGCCTGACACATACATAGGTATATGTTTTCCCAATAGGGTTAAAACATCACAAAGAGAAACAGGCAGCAAAGCCCAACTGTCAATCTCTTCCTGCTGAGACTTCCAACTAGGTTTCTTATAAAAACTATTTGTCATATCCTGAAAACACAAAACAATGAGATGGGTATTTCTAGTTTTTTTGGCACTCATTCTCAACTCACTGGTTGGAAAGTGCTATCCAAATGACTCTTGGAACAGAATGTAAAGAAAGTAATTGAAAGAGAAAGACTTAAAAAAAGCCCCAGAATTATGTGCTTTGGCCTCTTACCTTGATCACCAAGTACTAGGGCACCAGCTTCCAAAGCAAAATCTCCAGAAGAACTATCTTTTGAAAGAGTTACAGTCAAACCAGAAGTGGTTGTGGTATTACCACAAACATACACGCCACGTGGAGCAACACTGCATACTGCCTAATGAAATGGAGAGTTTAAAAGAAAGTAAAAGGGAAATAATACAGTAGTGGCTCACAAACATCAGCTATATGCCAGTCATTCTTCTAAAAGCTTTCCCATACAATCTTCACCATCACAGTAAGAATATTATACAGTATTATACACAGTACTATACACCTGTTACTGATGTAGAACAAAGGTCTGAAGAGAGTAACTCACACAGCTATGAAGGTGTGAAGTTAGGATTAAATCAAACCCGAGCAGCCTGATTCTAAAGTCTGTGGTCATGTGAATACACCATTGCAACTTATGCTTCAAGTTAAAATAGCAAATATGTATGTATTAATTTTAGTTTCAGAAACCCCAGTGCTTCTTTAAACACCAGGTAATAAAATGGCTTAATAGTGTTCACCTTCAAACAAGGGAACAGCACACAGAAAAGTAGTTAAGTAGTGCAACAGCTAAAAGCATGGACCTCTGGAGTCAGGCAGACCTGTTTAAATCTTGGCTCTATCATGTACCTACTGGCGGTGCTGCTCTTGAACCTCTCTTGAAACCTCAGCTTCCTTATGTTTTATAACATACTGCATTGAGGACTAAATGAGATCATATGTGCAAGGCACTTAACCTGGTACATGGCATATAATATGTGCCTCGTGCAAGGCCACTGTACACCTCTGTGTACCTCACAGCCCTAGTAGGCAGTGCTTACCCTGCTATGTCAATAGTGTGCTCTGGACTGATGTAGCACACAACCTAATGTGAAGCTTTGGTGCCTAGCTAAATAAATGGTAGCTATCATTATTTTTGTTACTTGCAATTCCTTAGTTGTTAGTTTGAGAATATGTTGGCTTACTAAATGGTCAAAGGAAAATAATTTAAAAATATAAACAACTCATAACTGTTCAGTTCAGTTTAATTGCTCAGTCGTCTCCGACTCTTTGCGATCCCATGAACCGCAGCACGCCAGGCCTCCCTGTCCATCACCAACTCCCGGAGTCCACCCAAACTCATGTCCATTGAGTTGGTGATGCCATCCAACCATCTCATCCTCTGTCATCCCCTTCTCCTCCTGCCCTCAATCTTTCCCAGCATCAGGGTCTTTTCAAATGAGTCAGCTCTTCGCATCAGGTGGCCCAAGTATTGGAATCTCCGCTTCAACATCAGTCCTTCCAATGAACACCCAGGACTGATCTCCTTTAAGATGGACTGGCTGGATCTCCTTGCAGTCCAAGGGACTCAAGAGTCTTCTCCATCATAACTATTAATATTAGCCTAATTTTTAAAAACCTTGGCTTAGTGGGACTAGCAGACTTACATGAAATTCAGATTCCCACACACACTTTTACCCACATACCTTACCTAAGTAAACTGTTTTCATTTTTACCATCTACTCTGTTTCACCTATAACTGGATACTCTGTGTCTCAGTTATCCGGCTTGTAGCAAGGGTTCAGAACAGAATAAAAACAAGTTGGCCCAAGTGGCCAAAACAAACAAAATATGAAAACAAAGGATTTTTAAAATGTCAGATTAGAAATTAAAATAACTGAGTGATTTGTTGAAGTATAGTTTTTATTTAAATATAATGTACATAATTATAGTACATATAACTGTACAGTTCAACAAATTTCCATGCAACTGGCATCCAGATCAAGAAACAACATAACTAGCATTCCCAAAGTCCCTTTCCAGGCACCACCCAGTTAACTTGTAACACAATAAACTAGTTGTGATTTATATGAAACTTTAAATGAATAGAAAAAAAATAAAATAACTAATTTCACACTCAGCCATAGGGAATAATGGCTCTGATGGACAGTAGGTTTATAATACAATGGGGAGACCAGTTTTCAATTCTGGCTGCACTTCAGAATCACCTGTGGTTATAACATGTAAATGCTAGGACCCTTACTCAAGAGATTCTTAATTCTTAATACTGGGGAAGGCCACAGTATTTTCAAAAAACTCCAACGCTGATAGTGATAGGGTACCTAACCATTCTTACATTGGCTTGGCAGGTGTCACTCCAAGCATAAGCATTCCAAAGGCTGCACCTTCTAGGGCAGCATGGGGAGAACTACTAGGCTCTGATGGGCAGAGCTAAAATCTTGGGGACCAACAACATATTGGTCATGGGAATTTCCTTGTTTTAGACTCAGAGAGAAGCAGTGGAGATGGATAGGATTGACCTTTATCAGACTACTCTTAAAGCCTAATTCAGTGTTTATATAGTTGTATAAAGAGATATTGGGTGAACCTGCTTTACTTTCTTGAACTATTCTATTCATAAGTAAGGTCACAACAATAAAGACTAGTAAAGCAATGCTGGATACAAAAAACGGTTAGGGGGACTTCCCTGGTGGTCCAGTGGCTAAGACTTCATCCTCCCAATGCAGGAGGTGGGGGCCCTGAGTTAAACCCTTGGTCAAGGAACTGGATCCTGCATGCTGCAGCTAAAAGAATTTGCATGCTGCATCTAAAGATCCCATATACCCCAATGAAAACTGAAGACCCTGAATGTCACAACTAAGACCCAGTGCAGCCAAATAAATTAAATAAATACTTTAAAAAAGAAAAGAAAAAAATGTATTTTTTTAAAAAAATAGGGGTTAGGAAAATGGTTAATATTTTACAATAGTTGACATCTTTAACACAGCAGTATGTTTGTACAGCCTGCGTGACAGGAGACTGGCTTTATTTGAAACGATGGTCAGATATAAGTTACTCACTCACACAAACCCCAACTCACTCACACTACTTGACAAATGATATCCTCTGGAACACAAATACCACACGTTTTAGGAAAATTCATTTGTGAATTATTCATGCATTTTATAAGCAAAAGGTCAAATCCTAAATGTCTGATTTCCTACCTGTAGCATCTGACTTTTTCCCAAGCCTGGGTCTCCAACAACAAGGACATGGGGGTCTCCTCGAATTGGAATTCTATTTTTGTCATCTGCATATTTCTGGCTTCCTCCAAAGAGTGCTAATATCAAACCTGCTTTAACAAGCTCAAATGTGAAAGGAGAGAGAGAAAAAACAAGAAAGACAAAGATGACTAGCAAAAGGGGTGCTCCTCCTATATTTACATTTGTGTGTGGATTTTTTTTTTTAAAACATGACTGCATGTTGCTTTTCTCTTTTCCTAAGAAAAGTGTAAAAATACACTTCTTTAATGTAAATGATTAGAAAGCATATAAAATAAGGTATCATAAAAGTCACTGAGTATACATGTGTTCCCCATCCTGAACCCTCCTCCCACCTCCCTCCCCATGTATACCCATGGCGGAGTCAAGTCAATGTATGGCAAAACCAATACAATGCTGTAAAGTAAAATAAATAAATAAAATTTTTTTAAAAAGTCACCAAGTGAAGACCTACCTTGCCAGGCACTGAATCAATTCCACAAAACTGAGAAGTATTTGTTACTTTCTGCTTTACCATCTACTGTGTTCAGAGTCACTTTAAAAGAAGTCCATTCCCATTAACTCTAATTGGTAGGAAGCTCTATCTTACAAGGGACTGTGGTTTCTCTCTCACATCATTCATTTATGGAGAATAATGAATCATATTAAACTATGAATAACTGGCCAACAGAAATTACTATTTTTTTGCAAAATCTTTATATTCTATTTTTGTTAAATTTATGTATTTTGAGTAAAATGAAGTAAAATACTTACTTCATGACCAAAAATGACAGGGCAAAGCGAGCTGAAAAACAGAATACGATTTATAAATTCTAACATTTTCAGGTGATAAAGAGGATCTACTTTACAATCTGCTTAATTTACTTTACTTAGTACCAAACAGCTCAAGAAACTTTATTCCAACAAATTGATCAAAATTCTTGATGAATCTATAAAGGGAAGAATAGTTTAGAAATTGTGTCTGTGTAAGGGAGACAGGATACTTACAAAGCATTTACATTACTAGCCTTTAAAATGCATCACAGGGACTTCCCTGGCAGTTCAGTGGTTAAGATAGTGCATCAGGGGTTCGATCCCTGGTTGGGGAACTAAGATTCTGCATGCTGTGTGGCACGGCAAAAAAAAAAAAAAAATCATAATCATGTTATGATCATGGGTTATTCAGTACCCTAATACTTTAGGGTAAAGAATTATCTTTTATATGAACAGACATCTTTAGACCTGTGTAGCCAAGTCATTGAAAGAAGGAGACTAAAGGGTGAACTGAGTACACAATATTTAAAGAAAGAATAAAATTTCATTTTTTCAGTTCAAAGAATCAGAATAAATAAGGCCATATATGAACATATGAAGTATTATATTAATATAAAGAAGTATCTCACATCTATCAATTGTATAAACAGGAACAAAAAGGACAGGGTGGGAGACATACAATCAGGAATAAACTCTGAATCATTTTATCTCTTTTAATATATGTAAACAAAAAGTTGGTATCCTGCCATTCCCCCCCTGGCAATCATTCCTGCAGATCACTGCTCACCTCCTACCAAGCAACTGCATCTGTGTGCCAAAAGGCTTTCTATGGCTGCAGAAGCATTAGCAGAAGGCAGGCTGGGCAGAACAGAAGTGCTGGCATGTCTAATGTTCTCAGGAGCAGCTCCAAATCTAGACCCTTAAACGGAAAAATACTGAGGCTAGGTCTTCAGTCAAGTGTCCCAGAGGCCTCAGAAAAGATTAAGCCTTCATTAAGGCACCAGACACTGACTACCTCCCTTCTCTGTCTCACTTTCTCATTCCCCTCCCAGTATTTCTGGGGATAATCTCCCAGATAAACCACACTTATGCAAATCATTGTTTCTGAAGGAACCTAAACTAAAACAGCCTTCTATTTGTCTTCTCCATTCTCTTCTCAAAGGCTTCCATTTGTTAATCCAGCAAGGGTTGACAACATTTTTCATAAAGGGCCAGAAAATAAATAGTTTCACTTTTACTGTGTGGGTCAGAACTACCCAACTTTTATCAAAGGAACGATCAATAATTTGCCAATTAATGGGTGGGGCTGTGTTCTAATAAAACTTTATTTACCAAAATAGGCAGCTTGCCTAGTTTACCAATCCCTGCAAGATTAACAAATGGAGAGCCATGAAAAATTCTAAATTTAGAACTAAAAGGTAAAAGCAAACTGTAGAAAGGAAATCCAAGTTTTTCATACTAACATACATACTTAAGAACTGCACATGTTCACTGTTATTATAATTGGTAAGAGGTACCAAAGAGGCGTTTTGGTCCTCAACCAGGGAGTTCCCTGCCACCTGCTACAGACCACTCACCACTCCACCACTTATCACCAGGTCACTGAGTCTCCCTAGCACAGGGCACCCTATCTACCAGGATGTGTTTGGATGGCTATCTATTCAAAGGATATCTTTGAGGGTTTAAGAACAAAAAACCCTTAAGGAATTTATACTTTTCCCAGCTTGCTAATTAATATATTAAAGACAGAAAAAAGTGTCAAATTCTCCTAGAGCCCAAAGGCTAAATGACAAGATCAATTTTTCTAATATAATGCACTTCAAAATCTCAGTTCTGTACCTCTGTTTGGTACATCTACTATTTAGTCTCTCATTTTCTATTTCTTCAAAATTATCCAAAAAACTGTCAAAATAACAGTACATTGTGTTAACCATGTTAAGTATATAATGAAATCTCATTTAATCTTTAGAATAACATTTTGAGGCAGCTATTATTACTTCTACTTTAGGAGAAATTAAATGCCCCAGATTACAATTGGAAGTGGCTGAAGCAAGATTCTAACTTAGGTTTATATCTCCCTAAAAAAGTTTGTAACCACTAAAGCAAAAGTACCTCTACATTGTTTCTTCTCTATTGCAGGACATAACACAGAAATAAAAACTATTCTGAAATACTTCTCAATAGTAAGTGACTTCTATGTGACTCTCTTTTTTGCTTTCTAAAAGTAAACAAACAACCCTCTATATACAACTAATTGAAATTACTTTGGAATTCACTGCCCCATAATTCTTTTGTTAAGTAACCAGTTAATGTGAGATAGTAAATTTTCCTTATTGTTTCAACTAGAGATCAGCAATCTTATTTGTAAAGGTATAAACAGTAAATATCTGTGACCCGTCTCTATCACATCTACTCTATCACTGTAGCTCAAAAGCAGTCAGATACTATGTAAATGAACGAGTGTGGCTGTGTTTCAATAAAAGTTTATTTTTGGACAGCAAAATTTGACTTTCTTGTAATTATGTGTGTCATGAAATATTCTTCTTTTGATTTTCTTCAGTCATGAAAAAACATAAAAACCAATCTTAGCTCACAGGCTATACAAAAATGAGTAATTAGCTAAATTATATCTCTTCCACTCTGCCCTTTTTGTACAAATAGGATTATACAATTGATGAATGGAAAATACTTGTTTATATTCAACATAATACTTCATATATGGCCTTATGTATTCTAATTCTTTGAACTGAATATGAATTTCAGTTCAAATATGAATATGAAATAAAATATGAAATGTTATCCCTTCTTTAAATATTATGTATACAGTTCACCCTTTAGTCTCCTTCTTTCAGTGACTGGGCTGCACAGGTCTAAAGATGTCTAATGAATTGTAATTTGCAACCATTTTGACTAGTTAACATGCACATGATAAAATAAAACTTGAGATAATCTCATACATACTTGACAATGAGTTTAAACAGGTTTTCTTCAGACTGAATCTCCTGGATGGCATAAAGGTCTTTAAGTGAGAACTCCATCAATGCTCCATGCTTACATCCATCTTCAGAAGCCTTTGTTTTCTGTCCTTTGTTATTACTAACAGAATTTGCTTCAATGTACAAAAGGAACATGCATTTGTCATTCTTATTTCGAGAACCTGTAAATTTCAAAGTACAAAAATACAGTAATTGGTATTTTCCCTACAGAGATTCAAGTAGAATGTAAAAGAAAGGCATGGTGAGTTATATTACTAAATAAACCTTTATTTTAGAGAAAAAGTTTCACCTATATAAGAATCAAGGAGTTCTTTAAATTACTGCAAATTCAGAAATATCTTTAAAAGGGAAAAGACAAATGCTGACAAACTACAGAGAGACAGTCAAATTGAGGAAAGTTATACCACACCTTCCTCAGCATTGGAGACTTTGACAACTCCGGTGATAGTCACTGTGTCTCCTGGGACACAACTATCCACGAGATCATGAACAAGCTCACATTCTATTGTTCGTGGAATCCGACCTGCTTCTTGCTGATCATCAGACATCAACTCCTGTATTCTAAAAAGTTAAACAATTTTCAGTCAGTACTTACACTGACTCCAGGTTATTTCTTCAACATATTAACTATTCAGGGTCCACATGGTGCTAAGCTAGATAAAGGGCAGTTCTTTAGTTTAAAAAGGTTCAACAGTATATCTAAAACTACTTTGGCAATTTCCAATTAAAGATAGCAGAAAAGGCACATGCATTTGCCTACCTTCCCATCAAAATGTGCACCAAGATGACAGTCACTAGAAGAGTGAAGGGAAATTCGGGGGTGTGCGGAGGTGCCATCAACAAGTAAGAGATATGAAATTTTAGAAAACAGAAAATGGGAATGTACTGATGGATAAAATAAGATGAATTCCAGAACACACACAGGAAAAATTTACACAGGTACAAGAGAAGTGGGAGCCAGTGTTCTCAGCCCCAGAGAGCCTTCTAAGTTGGAGCTGGCAGGAATGAAAACTGGGAGTAGATGGCTGAAACAAAACAGGATAATTAACTGAAAGCAAGTCACTGAAATAGCTATTCAGAAATTATTTGGAAGGTGCATAGACAGGAAGGTAGAAGAATGAGGGCACCCCACCAAAGCCATCAGGTCTCCCCGCCCAGCAAAACCAGAGCACTGTTCCAAGGAAACAGACCATCTGCTCTGTGAAGGTAGCTAAAGTGTCCAGAGGGGAAACAGAGCTCCAGCGTAAGGCTTCTCATTCTGGCACTTGAGCCCAAGTCAAATTAAAAAACACATTCATAAAGCAAAATCTGACAGTCAAAACTCTACCTTCTATCCAGTGATGAGGCTTTTTGAAGAAAAACTCCTACCTAAGAAATAACAAAGAAATAAGAAATAGCACTACCTTACCTACTTCAATTTCTTATTCCTCATCAGATATTTGAGGATGAAATGGCAACAATTCAAAAAGGAGAAGAGCATTAAAAACAAAACAAGCTAAGAGTTTCTAAGAAAACATTACCTTCATAAAACAAGAATAAGCTGCTATAAAAACAAACTATTGAAAAACACAAGTGTGAAATCAGGAAAGTTAAAGACATATATAAAAAGCAAACATTTACAGAAAGGATAGAAGCAAAAAAAAAAGAAATCTAGAGCATAAAGAAAACAAAGGGTAGGCGGATTCCCAGGTGGTACAGTGGTTAAGAATCCGCCTTGCAATTCAGGGGACATAGGTTCGATCCCAGGCCACAGAGCAACTAAGCCCACATGCTGAAACTAGAGAACTTACATGCTGCAACTACTGAGCCTCTGTGTTTTACAGCCCAAGTAACACAACTAGAGAGAAGCTGTGATGCCTAGAGAACCCTGGGCACCACAACAAAGATCCTATGTGCCACAAATAAGACCCAATGCAGTTAAATAAATAAATATTTTTTCCAGAACACCACGGATAAAAAGATTACAAAGAGTTGGAAAAGTGCTAAACAACAAGGTTAAAGTTCAAATATGAAGCGTGTTAAAATATGGGATAATTCAGTGAAGCATGAGAAAAGATTATCCATTTTTTAAAAACATTCTCGCTTTTAAAAAAAATTTATTTGGCTGTATCTTAGTTGTGGCACATGGGCTCAGTAGTGGCAGCCCACGGGCTTAGTTGTCCCATAGCACGTGGGATCTTAGTTCTCTGACCAGGGATCAAACCCACGCTCCTGCATTGGAAGGAAGATTCTTAACCACTGGACCAGCAGGGAATTCCCAAAGATAATCCACTTTGATTTTGATGCTTGGGTCATTTTCCTTTAAGGGGGGGAATAACTCAACAAAACAACCCAACCCAATTACACAAATTACATTTGCTTCTCTTGGCATCTGATCATCTGACTTGATTCTTTGTTTAACAATATTTACATTACCATTAAAAATATAAGTGCTGTTTGTTTATCAGATATGACCTATGAATAAAACATGACAGATAATTCTGATTAGGAAACAGTAGCAAACCTTGACAATTTAAAAATAACATTTTAGCTGAAAAAAGTCCAAAGGTGGAAGGGGAAGAAGGGAAAGCAGGTACCATGTCTCTAATGTCCTCAGCTCACAGAGTGGATGAGTAACTGACATGTAAGTGAAGAAAGAGACATGATAATGCTATCTAGAATTATGTATAAAGCAACAAGAAGTTGCAGGAACTGTGATCTTCTATGTTAAGCTTTTTAAAACACTTAATATGCATTATTTTAAAACCTTTTAATCACTTACATGATGAGTGTAAGCACAAACCCTACTGCACAGTTACCCACTACATTCAACTTTCAAAGCACATTTTAAAAACTGGCAAACTGGGACTTCCCTGGTGGTCTAGTGGTTAAGAATTTGCTGCCAATGTAGGGGACACAGGTTTGATCCCTGGTCCAGGAAGATCCCTCATGCCACAGGGCAACTAAGCCCCTGGACCTCAATTACTGGGCCCATGCTCTAGAGCCCATGAGCCACAACTACTGAGCCCACGTTCCACAACTAAGCCTGCACGCCTAGAGTCCTTGCTCTGCAATAAGAGAAGCCACCAAAATGGAAAGCCCATGCACTACAACTAGAGAGTAGCCTCCACTCGTCACAACTAGAGAAAGCCCGAGAACAGCCAAAACTAAATTAATTAATTAAAAAAAAAAATCCTGGTGAATTGCAATGAGAAGTATCAGAATGACACAAACATGCTAAGATCATCTTGCTTTAAAAAACGTATATTTTAGACTTTTCTTATTAAAAGAACACCTATTTCTATGTCACCTTTGGAAAAATTTAAAAACACAGATAAACAAAAAGAAGAAAGTAACAATCACCCTCATCTCACTTCCCAAACAGTATACTCTCAACATGTCTTTTTGTTTATCAGTGTTGTTTTTTAAAAAAAGATAAAGTCAATATTATATATTAATAGTAGAAAGCATTCTATGACCTGCTTTATCACTAAATTCAGTGTAAACATTTCTGGATGTCATTTCAAAACACTCTCCTACATCATCGTAATTAGTGGCTATACAATAATTCACTAACCCATCCTTATAAATTTTCTTCAGATGTTTAGGCTATTCTCCATTTTTGGTCATCAACACTGTGAAAACGTACCTTCAGCAAGTAATTTCTGCACGTGTTGTGACTGTCTTCATCAGATGAACTCCTAGAACTGGGCCTGCTTCTGATTCTGATATACACTATAAAACTGTCACCCTGATGCATCCAAACGTTTCAATGCTAGCTGAAAAACTATAACTTAATTCCTTATGGACATCCAAGCTAAGGCTCAGGTAAAAATGAAACTGAATTTACTATATATGGCGAAGGCGGCCTTTCTTCTAGGGCAAAAAATCATTTTATCAGTAGACTAAAACAACTATCATGTAAGCTAATATTGCATTAACAAAGTTTTACTATAACTGACTCATTTAAAATGAACTTGAGTAATACCTTTTAAAAACCCACAAAAAGGATTTAAATGTCCTCCTTTTCTCAACCGTCTACCCCTAAGTTTGATTTCCTAATATTAGGAGATGATCATTCAAATTCAGTTAAAATACTTAAGCCTATTTTTAGTCTGCTATTTTTACCTGAAAACAAAGAGACTTTAAAATCACTTAAAAGCCATAAGAATATAATTAAATCACTAGATCTTCCATGCATCTATGTGGACCTCATAGCACCTTTGAGGCCCTCACTACCCTCTTCAGTGGTGAAAGTACTATAGACACAGGCTAGAAACCAGGCTTCCCCATTCACAAGGCACGTGATCACACTCAAGAGTTTTAAACATTTTGTCTTCTATAAAATGCTGTTTGTAAACATCTCAGCATAGTGCACAGCTAATTACTGTATATATTGGTCTTGGTTTTTATAGGGCAGAAGGAGGTCAAGCTAGGACAGGGCGTAGTAGCAATTTACTTCATTTCCCCTATGTTCTTAGAAGTTTCCTGGATAGCACTCTGACTTCAAAGCTATCCATTACATTATATTTAGGGATGAGTTATGGGGCTATAGCCAGAAAAAAAATGGGATAAACTGTTAGACTAAAAATATACACACACAGAGAAAACTATCTGACTTTCAAAAAAAAAAAAAAAACCAAGTTTTTAAAAATACCTATACAGTAAAATGTCTCATGAATAGTGTGAACATAAAATGAAATATCTATTTCTAAGGGAGTCTCTATTTTAAAACTTGAAAACAATATTATTTCTAGAATATTTTCATTATGAAATGAAACACTGTTGTTTAATTGCTAAGTCATGTCTGACTTTTGTGACCCCATGGACTGTAGTCTGTCATACAGCTTTGCTTGTATGTAAATCCAGTTCAATGAGTCACATAAAATGAAAGATAAAGTAATTTCTCAGTAGCAAAATGACAAAATAGTTGCACATCAAATCCCTTCTGGAATCTGATAGAAAACAAATCTCAAATAAAGATAATTATCACTTCAATACATAACACTTCACCAAATAAACCTTTTATACTTTATTACTATCTCCACCTAAGAAAGTGTAATACAGGAATACTGTAGATTTACTTGGCATTATGAGAGCTCTAAAACCTGCCTTTTATTTAATAGTCTGATTGCTTACTTGATTGACTGCCAGTCCATTGTAACTGTGAGAGGAGAGCTACGAAGAGCCGTAAATGACTTCCCTCGACACGCTGGTACAGGACACTGCAACGAGATTAATTCACACTTAAGTTTTGCTAAATTATAATCATATCTCAGGAAAATTCAAGTTAAAATGCTTCATTTAGTATGTTTAAAAGTTGGTCCCAGAACAGTATTAAAGTAAGATGAGCTAAAAGCCACAATGATCTATTTCCTTCTATTGCTGATTCTCTTTTTGAGACACTTTTTTGCCTGTCTCTCTTGCTTACTGCTCTTATTCTTTCTGCTGCGAGTATGCAAGGCTCCTTACATGCCTCTCACACTAAGCACTTATTTCTTCCTTTGTATTCAAGTAGTATCCCAATCCTTGAACATTCCCTTATATCCAGTCCCACATACCCAGCCCCAGTCTTCTTTTTCAAAAGCCTTTCTTGGGTCTTCTTTAATCCTCAGTTCTCCTATCTAATCTCTTTCTGCACTGTTTGTATGCTATTAAACATAATACTTTTATTGTACCACACAGGCAGTCCTCAACATGTAAGTCACTGTTCATGTTTTCATGAATCATTTATTTTCATAAATCACTTAAGTACCTCAAGATGCATTTATAAATACAGAGACTGTGGCAAACTGTAGTTTCCAAATATAAGGTTGTAATATCTCCCCTCAAACCTTTCCAAAACCTTGCCACTCCCCTATTAAGAGTTGGAGTCGAATTTCCCTCTCCTGGAATGCGGACAGGCTTGTGACTCACTTTGAAACCAACTGAATGTGACAGAAGTGATGCTGCTTGATTTCTGAGGCTGCCTGAAAAGAGGCAAAGCCATTTCTGCTGTCAACTGGAACTCTGCCTCTTGAAGCCATCAGCAGTCATGTGAGCAGAATGAGTGTCCTGAGCAACTATAATGTGTGTGAGAAGCCAAAACCAGCCCACACAGAAAAATAATATAGAGACGGGATGCTGGCCAGCACCCAGCCACTCTAGTCCCTTGCTGTTCCATCCAGCGCCATAAGAGATCAAGACCTAAAAATACCAAGACAACCAGTTCTTCCAAACTCAACCTACAGAAACCATGTGAAATAATAAAATGATTGTTATTCTGAGTCACTATGCAGCAATAGTGATTAAAACAGAGTGATTTGTTATGCAGCAATAGTGACTAAAACAGAGACCACCTGGAACAATCATCTTTCTGATCACTTTGATTTACTTCAGTTCAGACACATGAATAACAAGTTAGCATTTCTACCTACTATATTATAGGGTATGGAAATTCCTTGGTCAGATAATATTTACAGAAAATATCTGATTAAATCAGGATTTAAATTCTGGCCTCTCCAGGGAATTCTCTGGTGGCCCAGTGGTTAAGACTCTGTACTTTCACTCCAAGGTCTTGGGTTCAATCCCTGTTCAGGAAATTAAAATTCTACATGCATGGCATGGCCCCCAAAATAAAATAAAAACAACAACAACAACAAAAAACACCTGACCTCTCTGACCTAAAGGCAGTCCTGAATCTTAAGCCCAAATAGTAGATGCCACACATTTATCAACAATATTAACTATTCAGAACCAACAGCTGAATCTAACACATTCTATTCTTCCTACAAAAGAAGGAAGCCTTAGGAATTTCAATTTGAGTAAAAATGTAATTAATGATAAACTTATTAAAGTCTAAGGATGATAAAGGCAACTCTGGAAAAGAATAGGTATGGCAAGTCTCCCTACCTTATTAAAAGTTTTAATAAGGTCAATGTAAATAGAACCATGTAGATATGGTATAGGAACAGTAATATAAAACAGATTCACATGTCTACAGGAGTACAGTGTACTACACATGACATATTACACATCAGTAGAAACAGAAATATTAATGTATAAATGGTGACAATTGGGTTTTCACCTAAAAGAATAAAATTAGATCCTTAGCTTAATGGCATTCACAAAGTTAAATTTCAGATGGACAAAAGATCTAAATAGAAAATACAAGACTTAAAAGTATTGGAAGAAGAAAAACATGGCCTGAAAAGATACATGCACTTCAAGGTTCATTGCAGCACTGTTTACAATAGCTAAAACATGGAAGCAACCTAAATGTCCATTGACAGAGGAATGGATAAAAATGTGGTACATACATACAATTGAATAGTACTCAGCTATTAAAAAGAATGAAATAAGGCCATTTGTAGCAACATAAATGGACCTAAAGAGTGTCATACTGAGTGAAGTAAGTCAGACAGAAAAGGGGAAATATCATATGATATTCCTTATATGTAGAATCTAAAAAGATACAAATGAATTTACTTACAAAACAGAAAAGAGACTCATAGACTTAGAAAACAAACTTATTGTTGCCAGGTAGAAGTGACAGGGACTTTGGGAAGGTCATGTACACACTGCTGTATTTAAAACGAATAACCAAGAAAGACCTATGGTATAGCACATGGAACTCTACTCAATGTTATGTGGCAGCCTGGATGGGAGGGGGGGTTTGGGAGAGAATGGAGAGAATGGAGAGAGAGAGAGAGAGAGAGAGTGTATTCACCTGAAACTATCACAACATTGTGAATTGGCTATACCCCAATACAGAATGTTTTCGGTGTTAAAAAAAGAATAAAATTAAATTTTAAAAATATTGGAAGAAAATGTAAGGGAGATGCTTACGATGCTTGAGTGAGGGACCCTTCTTAAGCCATGCATAAAATGTAAAAAAGTCATAAGGAAAAAGACTGATCAATCTAGCCATGTCAAAATGTAAAACTCTAAAACAAAAAATGTACCACAAAGTTAAAAATAAACTAAAGACTGGGAGAAAATATCTATAATGTAAGAAATCAAAGGGCATCTTCCCAACCCCAGGATCAAACCCAGGTCTCCCAATCGCCAAATTGCAGGTGATTCTTTACCAGCTGAGCCACAAGGAAGCCCAAGGATACTGGAATGGGTAGCCTATCCTTTCTCCAGTGGATCTTCCTGACCCAGGAATCAAACCGAGGTCTCCTGCATTGCAGGCAGATTCTTTACCAACTGAGCTATGAGGGGACCCTGTTTAATATCTAGAATTCATAAAAACTTCTATCAATAGTATAAACAGAAAAATGAACAGAAATTAAAACAAAATTCAATAAAGTAACTGAATGGCCAATAAACATGTGAAAAGATGCTCAAACATAACAGAAATCATAGACATTCATATTAAAAATGAAATACCATTTTATACCCATCAGTCTGGTAAAAATGAAAAAACCCAACAATACTAAGTGTTAATGAAAATATGGGGAAATTATAATAGCCTGAAAATACTACCAGAAGGGGTGTAAGTTGGGACCAACATTCTGGAAAGTACTTTGGCTACAGCCTAAAAAGTTAAAATTAAGCATATCATGTAACTGAGAAATTCCTCTGCTAAGGAGACATGTAAAAGAACGTTCTCGGCAGCATCATTTGTGATTGTGAAAAACTGGAAACAGCATCATGTCTGCCAAGAGAATGGATAAACAGTGACTATTCATTTACTCCACTCAGTAAATGAAAAGAATTAGATATGTATCAAGACAGGTGTGAGGAGTGGGAGGGATATATGTATACAAACAGCTGATGCATGATGTTGTACAGTAGAAACACAACCCTATAGAGCAATTGTACTCCAATAATAATAATAAAAAAAAAGAGGTAGAACTCCAAAATAACCAAGTGGAAAAAAGGTAGCAATTTGCTACCTTCAGAATATCAACTTATGTAAACAAAACAAATTCTATACATATATATAGTCAAATATGAAAATGTAGACTTGAAGAATATAAGCTGATTTCAGAATAGTGGCTCCAGGGGTAGAACAAGGTTAATGGAACTGCAGAGGGAAACAAACAGACTTTATAATACTTAACATTTTTTGTTAAAAAAATTAGCTAAATATTTGCCAACTCATAATGGTGCTATACAAATATTACATTATTCTCTATATTTTTCTGTAGTTTCAAAATCTATAGTTTAACAAAAAAAAGGAACACATCACTTTCAAACAGCAAAATAAAGGGAAGAAAACAATGTGTGTACCTATCAAGTCAAAATATAAAAAAATGATCAGAAAGAATACATGTTAACTTTAAGATAGTGGCTGTCTCTGGGAATAGGACAAGCAAGGGGTAAAAAAAGAGACAAAAGTTACACCAATAATGCTTTATGTATCTTTCAAGATATATCTGGAGCTGGCAAAATGTAAATTCTAAGTGGTGGGTAGAAATGTTTTATTTCTTTATTTTCTGTACCCTGAAGTATTTTATAATTTAAAAACCAAAAATAATAAAAATAAGCTCTGTATTTAGGAACACTGGGAAATGGTTTCCGTAAACTGATTTGTCTTCTTTATCAAGATAAAGAAGGAAGTAGTGGGAACTCCCCTGGTGGTCCAATGGTCCGCCTTGCAATGCATAGAATGTGGGTTCGATTCCTAGTCAGGGAACTAAGATCCCACGTGCCGCAGGGCAACTAATAAGCCCATGCTCCACAACTACTAAGCCTGCGTGATCTAGAGCCTACACGCCATGCAATTCATGACGCAATGAAGATCTTGCATGCCGCAACTGCTGCAGTTAACTGATGCAGCCAAATAAATGAATAAATAATATTTTAAAAAATAATGAAGTAGTTAAAGAACATGATATCACCTTTGTGGGAAGATTATATTTTCCATCTGGAAGAGAAACACTCTGAATTTCTCCACATGCTGCACAAAGAAAAGCCATCTTGGTACAAAGAGGCTTTATATTACTGACTCGAACCACTGTTCCTCTCAGAGCAATGTATTTTCCATAGTAATTTGCTCGGACATTCTTCAGCTGTGTCAGCGGCTCATAATTATACACCCTAAAAACAAAAATAGGAACATATTCACTATGAACTTACAGTGAGCAGAAAGTTGAGGTTGTCTGTATTTTCACAAGTTTCTTTTAGAAGCAATTATGGAATTCCCAAACGATATCATCCCATATATCAGGTATCTTACAAGTATTAAGTCATTCTTAAAAATAAAAGAAGCTAAATCTCCCCTTTTACTCTTGTCCCACTGGCTGTTCTCTATGGGAAAAGGAAAAAATAATGCCAAAGGGAAAGTCTCAGATTCAGCAATTTTTGAGCTTCTAACTTCTTTTTCAAGAAGTATTAGGAAGTGTCTTTTTTAAATTCTGGGGAAAAACAAAACAAAAATACCTGATCACCTTCTTCATCTCTTCTAATGTGAATTTAAAATCTTGTAATACAATATAGGTAAATTCAAGAAAAAAGTCCATTTGTTCTGTGTTTAATAGAAATCTAATAACTTGAACAAAATTTAATTACACCACTTAGTGTATTGCAGGGATTATTAAATGTAAACAGCAGAGTCTTGATAGGCACACATCCAAAGTTAACACAGAAATTTGCAGGCTCACATATCAACTTATTTGGGCAGAAAAGGTTTATTTCTATCATGATCTCTTTAAATTCAGCATATTCACTTGGGTGTGATAACCACTGAGTTAGCAATAAAGTCATACCCTTTTTACTGATTTCTTTGACTTTATAAAATGAGGTTCTCATTCTTAAACAGGCTTCAGTGCCTGATTCTAATAATACTTTAATACCAGCAAATTCTTCACCTTGCATGAATGTGTGGTACATTAACCACTGTTTCCCCATTTCGAGACAATCCTTCTTGGGCTTGTAACTCAGCTGCATGCCTTTCGAGGTCCTTAGTTAATACCTAGACAAGATAGACATTTACTTAAGAGTTACTTAACAAGATATCCTTTTGAAGCAGAACTCTTTTACAGAGAATATGAAGTTTAGAATATAAACAGTTCAGAGAGATTAATAGAACTCTAACTGCCCTTTAAAATTATGATATTTATGATCAATTATTTTATAGTGGATTATGTTTTACCTGGGGTTTTGCTGTCCCTGGACTGACAGAAAGTCTGCCACTTTCTGTCTCAACTAAACCTAGTATTAAAAGTCCTTACAGTAGCCCCCAAAGCTATACATTCTAGATGCATTCTAGTGAAAAAATATTTTCTACTTCTTCAAATTCAATGTTAAGATAAAGAAATAAAGATGACTTCTGAAACAACCAATACTTACTTTCTTGGCATTTGACATTAAGTAAAATAAATATTTAACATCTACTTGTGTACAGAGCAGCATGCTGCCATGAAAAACTGGCTCATCTCTGAAAAAAGAGATGTGAATACGCAGCTGTAATTGCTACCATAAAGATATACAGACCAAAAAACCATATGAGTTTTGAAAAGGAGTCATGAAAAGATTTCACAGAGTCATAACTGAGTTAGACCCAAGACATTTGGATATGTGAGGCAAGGGGCATTCTATGCCAAATGGACAGCACATTTAAGAGGTGCAGAACTCAAGAGAATCCTAGAGGGAGCTCAGTTTAGCTGGATGGTAGTAAATGGAGAGTGGGAAGAGAAGTTGAACTACATCATGGAAGGCTTTCAAATGCCACATAAAGCGTTTGAGTGTCATTTGGCAGGAAACAGTCACCACGGTTTCCAAGGATAAACCATGTTTTACTGTGTATGGCAACCATTAAGGAAGGATGAAAGAGACTGTAAAGATGGAAAAGAGGTGGATTTAAGAGATACTTTAGAAATAAAAGTGAAAGGATGTGGTAATTTAGATACGAACTAATGAACAAGAGGAGTCTGAAAACAGTCAAGGTTCCCAGTCTTAGGTCACTAGCAGTGTATACATCTTTGTGATGAACCTTTGTAATGAACCCTCACTCGGATATCCTGACCTCCTCTGCTCTATGTCCAGTCCTCAGTAACACTTTAAGACCCATTATAAAGCCCCCCACACCTATGAAGTCTTCCTCTAACCAGATTGCAACCTATCAGTTCTAGCAAAGGTCTGTTGGTAAAAATTAACAGTTTATGAGAAGGTACTATTACTGTGAAATCTTCCTTTGAAAGTTTGACAAGTCACAAAATAAACATTTACCTGATGTATTGCCAGACCCATGCAAGCCAGGGTTTTCTCAGGTGTATCCCTTAATTCATCTGCTATATTTGGTATCAGTTTAGTTATTTCAGCATCATTTGTCAGTTCTTTAAAATCCACCAAAATACTTCCCTTTCTTTCTATTTCATCCTGTAAAATATAAAGATATGAAAGTAAGGATTGCTTTTTCAGAGTGAATTATCATGAGCATTCAATAACACACTATGAGAAAGCATATAATGTTAATATGGTGATAATAAGTATCCTATATTTTGTGTCAAGAACAGTTCTAGTATTCAAAATATATTAACTTATTTATTCCACTTAACAACCCTTTGAGGTAGGTATTAATACTATTATACTCTAATAATAGATGAGAAAACTAAGGCACAAAGAAAGTAAGTAATTCACCAATGTCCACACTGCTGGTAAGTGGGAAGCTGGTAGCTGGGCCAAGGCAGCCCACTGTCTATAGTAACAATTACTATCACCTCAAATACACTGTTCAATAAGATGACACATAAAGGTGGACTAGTAGCTTTGTTGTGCAAGAACCTTACCTTATCATATAACTCAATATGCTCCGTGAAAAAATTTTCAAATGCTTCAATCTTCTCAATAAAAGGAATGCTGTCACTGTAAACTAATCCAACAAATACTACATGAGACTAATAATAATCACAAATGTACAAGCATATTTCTCATGAGACAGAAGAAATACTATTTATATACATGGTAGATGGCTTATAATCACTGTGCATTCTGAATACATTTAGATTAGAACTGGTATAAAATGTAAACTTAAGATTCTAAAACAAGTTCAGGTCTGCATAATCTGAAATGCAGACAGGAAGTAGCTCTCTCTAAAACCACCAATATCTGAAAATCTTTACAATGAAATGTGACACCTAGTAAGACCTACTAGTTCAAATAGCTTACATGATAGAGACAAAGTTTAGCACACAGACTAAACTCTTATTTCTTTGCAAAGAAAATCCTACTAGTCCAAATAGCCACTTGTCAAATCCCTTCCTGAGATCAGAGTAGGTAGGTTACAACTTGACTCCAGTCCCAAAACTGTAAAGTTATCTTCCACATGGTAAAGTTCTGTAACATTTTTGAGTTGGTCTCCCACAGACGATCAGTACAATGAAGGAGACTGGAATTTGAAAGTACAACTGGCCAAAGACACCTTGTTCTGAGCTAACTGCTAGGAAATATTGCAGGTATTGGTGGCTAATGCTTCCTAAAGCAACAAAAGACACATCAACTATGAAACATAACATTTCTCATATGACAGAAAAAAAGAACACCTGACTCAATGCGGAAAACATTTGTACATCACTTTCTTCATTCACAAAATGAATACTGAGTATGTGGTATGAAGCAAGATCTTTGCTGTTAAGCAGTGCAGTCTGCAGCTGCTGCTGCTAAGTCGCTTCAGTTGTGTCTGACTCTGTGCGACCCCATAGACGGCAGCCCACCAGGCTCCCCTGTCCCTGGGATTCTCCAGGCAAGAACACTGGAGTGGGTTGCCATTTCCTTCTCCAGTGCACAAAAGTGAAAAGTGAAAGTGAAGTCGCTCAGTCATGTCCGACTCTTAGCAACCCCATGGACTGCAGCCCACCAGGCTCCTCCATCCATGGGATTTTCCAGGCAAGAGTACTGGAGTGGGGTGCCATTGCCTTCTCCGAGTGCAGTCTAGTGGGAGATATAACAAGCCCACAATACTATCAGACCATAGAAAAGCCAATTCTCCAAGTCCATACCCACAGATATATGAAGTTAACTGATGTTCTGGATTTCAAAAAGGAGATTCCTTAACTATGTTTCTACACAAACTTTGTTGGTTGTTGTCTCTTGGTTCCAAGCCTATCCTTCTATTTTCCGCTTTGTGATTCTATGATCAAGATCTGCACAATACATTTCCCAGATTTCTGTAAGGTTCTGCCAATTAAAGGCAACTTTAGATACTGGCAGATGGAAGGATAGGAAGAAAGGAATTTATTGTTTTCAATTCTTTTCAGCATTTCTCCAGATGCAGAAGACAGCTACAGTTCTAGCCCCCAACTCTAAGCACCAACCATTCTCCTGCCAGAATTACCAGCAGCATCCAGCTTAATTCACCTCATAGTCTGAGGACAGCTCTGAAAGATATTTTGCAAAGGTCCAAAAACAGCTTTGTAGGGTGTCCCTCTAAGGCTGAAACTGCAGTTATGCTGTGGCTCCTTTGAATTCTGAGGTTCTGGAACCTCAGTGTGCATGCATGCTCAGTCACGTCCAACTTTTTGCAACCCCGTGGACTGTAGCCCATAAGGCTCCTCTGTCCATGGGATTATCCTGTCAAGAATACTGGAGTGGGTTGTCATTTCCTTCTCCAGGGGATCTTCCCCACCCAGGGATCAAACCCACGTCTCATCCATCGGCAGGCGGATTCTTTACCACTGAGCCAAGAAGGAAGTCCAACCTCAACACTATTTATCTCTTGTTCCCTCAGTCAAAAGGTTGGTTGCTCTCTTCCAGAGTTAATAGTATCTAGCAGTTTACCTTAATGTTCCCTTTTTGTTCTTTTAATCCTTTGTATACCCAATTCCCTGTATTAAATCCTCTTTTTGAAATAACTAGTGTGGTTTGTTTTTCTGATACAAAAATGAAAAATAATGCTCCTGAAACATAATTTGTTTGAATTAATATTAAAGGTGAATATTAATATAAAGGTGAATCAATATTAAAGGGGATGGAGATACATATATAAAAATATGCATACACACACAAATATATATGTAAGCAGAATAAATTACAGTAAGTTGAGATGTAGCATCTAAAGAAAGTTAAGAAAATAAGACTTATGGTACTTTAGCACTTTAAACTCTACCTTCAGAGAAATAAAGCTTCCAGCCTTTATATGGTATGAACTGATCCAATGTTGACTGCAGTAGCAAAGACCGTGGGGTTTGTTCTGAAAAAGCAAAAAACCCCACAAAAACAGAATACTGGGTTAATAGAAACATTTTTTTCTAATTTGCTTCCCTTTTTAATGAGACACTGACATGTTATTAACAAATATCTAAATTACAGTTTCAGTAATTTTGGATATTAACATCCAAATGTTACCTTTAAGGGTAACATCAAATAAAAGACAGACAAATTTAAGTTAAACTGCTTTTCACAACATGCATGAACAGATTCCTTCATGGAGGAGAAAAAAAAAATTGAACTACTGTTGGCCTCTCCTACCAGGATGTTTTCCTGTGGCTTTATTTAGGTCAGGTCTGTGCTCTCTTTCTCTCCATTTTCCTGAGAAGCCCCCACCACCTCTTCCACGTTTCCAGCTTTGAAATCTTCCTTGTCCAAATCCTCTGCCTCTGTACTTTCCATTCATGTCTTTTAAAAGATAGAGAATAGGAAAGTCCTCATCAAAACTGTAGGGGAAACTGTGCTCCTAAAAATGTATTAACACAGTAAATAAGCAAATATTAATATATATTCTAGTTTGAGACCAGCAAACAGGCTTGCACAGAATGGTACGAACTCCAAAGACTCCGCAGTTACTCTTCTAATCCTCACCTCTTTTTAAGGTGTATCACAGATGTTTAAACAAGTATACCGAATGCTTAAATGCTTCTCAAACAAGTATACTGAATGCTTATCATGGGATAAGAGTAAGAAAAGGTACCATACTTGTTTTCAAGGAATTTCCACAGTAGAAGTGAAAATAAGAGGTAATTAACTGTAAGATAACTTTGTAGTGTTGTGAGACTTATTACAGGGCAGCACTGGCTGAACATTATCTTGACCTGTGACTTTAGGAATACATCATCATAGCTCCTTACAGTCAGTCCAGCAGTGTTCTATCCACTTTTATATGAGACACATGGATATTCTTTTTTTTAATTAATTAATTTTTACTTTGGTCATTTGTTGTTCAGTCACTCAGTCATGTCTGACTCTTTGCGACCCCATGAACTATAGCACACCAGGCTTCGCCGTCCTTCACCACCTCCCGGAGCTTGCTCAAATTCATGTTCATTGAGTTGGTGATGCCATCCAACCATCTCAATCTTTCCCATCATCAGGGTTTTTTTCCGTGATTCAGTTTTTCGCATCAGGTAGCCAAAGTATTAGAGCTTCAGCTTTAGCATCAGTCCTTCCAATGAATATTCAGGACTGATTTCCTTTAGGATTAACTGATTTATCTCCCTGCTGTTCAAGGGACTCTCAAGAGTCTTCTCCATCAGCACAGTTCAAAAGCATCAATTCTTCGACTGCTAAGCCTTCTTTATGGTCCAATTCTCACATCAATCCACTGGAAAAAACCATAGCTTTGACTATAAGGACCTCTTTCAGCAAAGTAATGTCTCTGCTTTATAATACGTTGTCTAGGTTTGTCACAGCTTTGCCATGCCACAAATCAAAAACTACAATGAGCTGTCACTTAACACTTGTCAGAATGGCTATTGTCAAAAACACAACAAATTTATGTTGGGGAGGATGTGGAAAAAAGGGGCTTACTACACTATTGGTAGGAATGTAAATAAATTGATGTAGCCAACTATGAAAAATAGTGTGGAGCTTCCTCAAGAAATTAAAAATAGAACTACCATAAGATTCAGCAATTCCACTCCATCCAGAATACAGGAAGAAGACAAAAACACTAATTTAAAAAGGTATATACACCCCAACATTCAGACATTATTTACAACAGCTAAGATATGGAAGCAACGTAAATTGAATGGATAAAGATGTGGTATGTACACACATATATACACACAATGAAACATTATTCAACTATGAAAAACAATTAAACTCTGCCACGTGCAACAAAATAGATAGACCTGGACAGTTTTATGCTTAATGAAGTAAGTCAGAGACAGGTACTGTATATTTTCACTTATAAGTGGAATCTAAAAAATAAAACAAAGACTTCCCTGGTGATTCAGTGGTTAAGAATTTGCCTCCACATGCCTTTGGGGCAACTAAGCCCAGGTGTCACAAATGACTGAGGTCAAGCAGGGCAAATACTGAGGTGCGGAGCCCTAGAGCCTGTGCTTTGTAACAAGAGAAGCCACTTCATTGAGAAGCCGGGGCACCACAAGAAGACCCAACACAGCCGTAAATAAGAAATTTTTTTAAATGTTTAAAAACTAGTAGAGAGGGGTGTGGGTGGAATCCGTAAAGGGGATTAAGAGGTACAAACTACTAAGTATAAGGTAAGTGAAAAAAATGCAATGCACACAACAGGGAATAGAGCCAATATTTCATACTAACTTTGTGATTGGGATTTTCTTTTTTTTACGGGTTTTTTTTTTTTGGCTGCACCGCATGCAGGATCTTAGTTTCCTGACCAAGGATGGAACCTGCGCCCCCTGAGGTGGAAGCACTTAGCCCAAAGTATTCCCTGAAGTATAACTTTAAGTGAAGTATAATCTATAAAAATTTAAACATTATATTGCACACGTGAATCTAACATTATAAATCAACTACACTTCAATTTTTAAAAGTTCCTATCCTAAGGATAAAAATAAGAATTTATCATAACATAGACTGTAGGGGCAATTCATTCCAAAACAGCCTATCCGCATCTTTATTTAAAGCGTTTAATTAATAAATAAGTTGAAGTTCATGATGTAAAGGAACTAATAGGGCTTTGATAAAATATAGACCACATCATATGTTAAGAAACTGAAGACCAAGGGAAATAAGCGAACTAATTAAGATCAAAGTTGTCCGGTGACAGCACTGAGCTGAAACTTCGTCTCTGCCATTCTTAAGCTGAAGCGCTGCTTCCAAACGCTACCTGCCGCGTCTTTTACAAATGAGGTAATATGGTAAGAATAACTAGTGAAAATTCCAACACAAATTTAAGAGGTAGGACTGGAAAATGAGTTAAAGCCACCGTCGGGCTGCTATGCTTGGCCATATACGCCACTTCATTTACGTCTCCTCAAGACTAAGCTCTTACTTGCAAAAGACAGAGGCCCCAAAACACTCTCAGTTCACTGCTCGGCTGACTCTCCCTTTCCCTATGGGGAAGGCAAGACGAGGCGAGAGGAGACCCCGCAGTCCGAGCTCCTCAGGTGACTCTACCCAAGCCTCGGAGACTTTTCACCCTTAGCTCTCCTGACGTTCCGGCGCAGGACTGAGGCTTGTCTGTCGAAGCGGCTCGAGGACCTCAACTTCTCCACCTAGGCCGCATAGGTTAGCCGGAAAACGTCTAGCGCAGGCAGCCACAACAGGGATGCAAACCAAAATCTAGTTTCCCTAGTTCTTTTTTGGCGCTTCTGTGACGCAACTTCCATCCGAAGCCGCGCAGAGATGTGAGGGGCGGGATGGAGGACAGCCAATCAAGGAGAGCAGCCAGACGGAAGCCGCGAGGCTTCCGGAAGCCCTCCCGAGGTTCTGACCGGAAAGCGGAAGCGGCACGCAGCACGTGGGGGCGGTGCCGGTCGGAGGGCTTTGCGTCCCTTTAGGTGTTTGGAGGTGATCCTGCCGGCGGCAACGGCCTAAAGCCAGGGGCGGAGTGCGAGGAACTGAAGGGACGCTGCAGGGCTCTGAGACCCGCTGAGCATCATGGAGAGCTCTGAGGAGCAACCAGGCCCACAGCCACAGTATCCCGGGAACCACTGCATCCGCGACGGCGACTTCGTAGTGCTGAAACGGGAAGATGTGTTTAAAGCAGTGCAAGTCCAGCGGAGAAAGTAAGTCAGGTCTCTCGCCTTAGGAGTTCTCCGCCCCCACCTTCTAGACATACTCTCTCACCGGGGTCCCATTCTTGCTTCTCTGGATTCTTTATCTTCTCCCTTGTTATCTCCTCTCTGATCTTTCCACTGAGGACTTTGCCCCCAGGATCCCATCCTTGGCCCTCGGGACCACCCTCACGCCTCCTGTCTTCCAACAGAGCCGTGACCTTATTCCTGGTCCTCTATCTTAAGTATCTTACTTAATCTTACCAGAGTCCTTTCCCCATTCTTGGCCCTCGCTCGGGTGCCCCGCCCCTCTTCAGCAAGCCGCCCCCACCCCACTTCCCACGTCCTGGGGTTCTTTCCTCAAGTGTTGAGTTCTTCTCTCTTGTCTTCTCACAGAACCCACCCTCCACTCTCTAATCTCATCCTTGCCTCCCAGAACCCCCTCATCACTATTTTGTGTTCTTGCAACCAGTACCTTTTTTCCCCCCAGAATTTCTGATTAGAAATATGTGCTTGCTTCCAAGTACATAATTTTTATAAAGTGCTTATACTAGTTAAGCTTTTAAATTTAGCAGTACAGCCAAGTCCTTAGGTTATAAGTTCGATGAATGATTTCACAGTTACACAGCTGTGTAATGACTGTACAGGTGAACCTTTGGTTTTTCTTTCTTGTATTGTTCTTTTAAGTTGCTTTATCGCGAGATGTGGTTGTTTGAATGTGGGTCTTAAAAACATGCTCTTTTAGACTAGGCTTTTCATTCCCAAGGACACAGACGGCAACATCTTTATTTCTAAAAAGTATTCTTAAGACACATATTTTGCAACACTTTTTAATCAGTTTTCTTGGCAGAAGCATAGCATTAGTTGCCATTTTATTTAGAAAATGATTCTGAGCTCAACTGTATACCAGGGCAGACTCTCCCTTCACTCTTTCCACAGGTCTGCACTCATCTGGTTGGGCACAAGCAATCCTGCCTCTGTGAGCAGACTCTGCACATCTCACTCTTGCCCACGTCCTTCTGGCTAGGTCCCACTTTCCTGACAGCGACCTCCTGTCAGGCCGGTCAGTTTGAGTGATGTACTCTTCTTTGCATATCAGATCAGCTGCCAGAGGGTAAACCCAACCCATCTCAGACCCAGTGTTTCACTAGCACTGGACTACTCAAAGGATGAGGCAGAGGATGGCGCACAATCTAGTCTGAGCTGCGTTTCAGCTTCTCTGAGGAGATTGATGTCCACAAATATTTTGAGTGTCTATTATGTGTCAGTCACTGAGACCCAGCAAAGAACACGAATTGGCCCTGTCTGAATACTTAGGATCTTGGAGAAATTCACTCAGATGATTCTAGTGAGGAGACTTGAAGATGTGCACATACACATACAGAGTTATGGAAAGGTTTAGAGCACCAGTAGAGACTTGTGATGCATCCGGGGGTCTAGAATGATGGGAAGCCTTTGGCCTGGGCGATGTGGTACCATCTGATTCTGTCATGGTCAGCCTCTCAGAGCACACAGGAAGAGAAGGTGTGGGATGGGTCACAAAAACTAGTCAGTATACGTCTTTCAGAATTCAGAGTTCTATTGGTATGGGCCATGTCCTGAAGCTAAACAGACTTCCTTAGATCCATTTGTTCTTTGTTGCATAGACTATGTCATGTAGTGGAAAGAACCAAGCTTTGGGTTCAGACAGACTTGG